TGTCCATGAAAGTCCAATACATGTATTTAGTATATCAAACCACATTTCAATGACATCATGGCCTTTTTCAAGTGTCTGATTGCTCTATCTAGGCAACCTGTGTGTTTGATTACATGAGAGATAGAGATTTATAGAAGGTGACTGTTGCGTTTGCATCCGTTCATTTCAATGTTAACTTAACACATTGTGGCTGCTTTTACTTCCAGACCACCATGATGTTTTGGGTCTTTCTCATGAACACACACACTTCCTTTCACACAGACAAAGCTCCCTAAAACATTCTAATTTACAGACACACATTTACTTACTGGTTTTCAATGCAATGCCTTCATACACCGAGTCCCACACACTCAACGCTCTGCACACTAATGAATGGAACTGCTGCCTTCTAACCCATCAGATGAATTGGAAGTGCCTGGCCATGGATTGAGGAATTGTTCCTCCAGCAAGCACTGCTCTTGCTCTTAGCCTCTATCTGCAGTTTATGTTTAGAAGGCACCATGCAGAGAGCGGTGTCTTGAAAAAGAGTGTAAAGTAATGTTTGTTTAGTAATGAAAGAAAAAGTTCACCGTGAGATAGTGATGCAGCAGTTTTCATCTTTGTTTTTGCTAAAATATTCAGGAGTTATGTGATCTTTATGTAACAATTTGTCTCTCTTTCTTCTTCCTTCACCCTGCCTAAGTAGTGTACTTGATTTAGTCACACTTCCCAAGAGTAACTTTAACTCATTCAATTAAGGTTTGCATGTGAGCAAGCTTTTGTAAAGGCAAAGTTGTTCTACTCCCGCCCTCTACTTCACTCACACCCCACGCTGTATCTCTTATTCACCCCACGCTGCATCTCTTATTCATACATTCATCAACTTTTTCTTTCCTCTTTTCCATTATGTTGTCTTTTGCTCGTTGTCCTATGCTTGCTCCCCCCCTGTGTTGTCCTTTGCCTGTTCATGTAATGTTCATGTTCAATTTTCTTGTCCAATATGTTGTCTTCTGCCTGTTCACCCCCTTTCTGTACTTTTAATTTTTTTTTGTAAGCGACTTTGGGTTATTGAAAAGCGCTATATAAATAAAAGTTATTATTATTATTATTATTATTACTGTTATTGACCATTTTACCGTGGTGCCCTTGAAACTTGCGTATGGTGCGTATTAAAGGTTGGATAAACATCTAATTGCAGTGAGTCAGCGCTGTTTAAACATTTGAAATGCGCTTCTTGACTTCTCCTTGTGTTTCCTTTTTTTTTTTTTAGATAATTGACGCTTATTATACGAAATGTCAACAATATTTACGTGCATATCTCTGAGTTTGATCAATACGTATACAAAGTTACCTGTATACAGATCAACTTGCTTAACCTTTATGAATCTTTTTATATTCAGTTTTGGTTTACAAAGGATAATTGGTTAAATGGTGGTCAAAAATAAATCCCATACAAACTTCCAAATATATTACCCACCAACCAAACCAAACTTTTTCATGGAGGTACTGAAGGGGCATGGGTTAGTCAGTCAATAAGTGTCTTGTTAAAAATGCAAAAACCCCACTTAATGCAAAATAACAGGTTTGTGTTGAAGACAAAGGGATCTGTTTCAGCCTCGAGTCTTAGTCGTCTTTATGTCTGCTTTCAATTGCAAAAATGTTTCATTTATATCCACTGAAGCAAGAAAAAGCTGTCCACCCTTTACTCCTCCTCCTTTGTCATCTTCTATTCATCTTGTCATCCTTATTCCTGTCTGATAGTGAAAGAAAAGAACACTGAGGCAGTCAAGTGGAAAAACAGGCCCTAGATGTGCCGTAAACCCAGACACTCATAATCTGCTGGGATTCAACAATGTGAAACACACTGAAAGACTTCCTTCCTCCTGCCCTGCTATTTTTCCCATTTCCACAAGACTTCCACTTTGTCTTCCTTTGTCCGTGCTCTTCGCCCATCACACACAGACAGATGCCAGTCCAATTGGGCCTCTGACATCCAATTGGAGAGCCTCGCTTGTGCAAAGCTTAAAGGTCCCATGTCATGGCCATTTCCACTGATCATAATTCCATTGTTGAGGTCTACTAAAATAGATTTATACTGTGCAATTTTCCAAACTCACATTGGTTTCGCAGACAGCATCTCTGTAAAGTATGTGTATTCACTCTCTGTCCTAAACGGCTCGTTGGAGCTCTTGCCCCCCCCCCCTCCTGTAAGCCCAGTGTGCTCCGACTGGTCAGCTCGGCCACTCGGTTCTGATTAGTCAACCACCAGAGAGGCTCCGCCCATGTCTAACAGTGCTTTTTTCGGCTCGCTCTGAGTGGAACATCAGCCTTACAATGGCCTTGGTACAGCCGTATATGTTACACACTAACTAACCGAACTGTATCTCCAACTGTTGTTATAGAAGAGTAAGTTATGTTTACCTGTAATAGTGGCGAATTCACGCCCATCTATCCATGGGACCTTATTTCGGAAAAATTATGTATTGAAGTCAATGGAGAGAGAAAACGTACAGTATCTTTAGATCCCGTTTGAATTGTGCCACAAATTACACATATGTTTGTCAATCTTAAAATAATTTTTTTTTCAAAAANAACGTCATCAGCTCAGCACTTCACTACTTACCGTACTTAGTCCTAAAGTCGTCGTCTCCTCCTCTCACTACCCGCCTCTGCCCGTTACAAAACTCCACCCTTTTTTCCGCCAGGACCACTACACTAAATACACCACCTAACTTAAACTCGACTGACAGCTTTTACTGAGGCTCCAACGCCTACACTTCCCCCCCTACCTCACACCGACAGTTACCACTTCAACTTTAAGACCTACAGAAACTATGCCCTTACCCCCCGGCTACTACTACTACAGACTAACCGTTGACAAGTCAAACCTCTATCAAAAAACAAACGTTAGGTACGAAAAATAAAGACTCTCTGGTCAACCACTCCTTGTATGGCATACCATCCAACCTCCTCAATAAACTCCAACATATCCAGAACTCTGCTGCCCGCCTCCTCACCCACACCCGCTCCCGAGACCACATCACTCCCATCGTCCAGAACCTCCACTGGCTCCCCGTCCGTCAAAGAATCCACTTCAAACTCCTCCTCATAACTTACAAAGCCCTCAACAACCAGGCCCCCCCCTACCTCACAGACCTGCTGCACCACCACACCCCTTCCCGCTGCCTCCGCTCATCAGAAGCCAACCTCCTATCCATCCCCACCCGCACCAATCACCGGACCTGGGGGGACAGAGCCTTCTCCGTCGCTGCCCCCTCCCTCTGGAACTCACTCCCACAACCCATCAGAGACTGCACCGACCTCACCACCTTCAAAAAACTCACAAAAACTCACCTCTTCAATCTGGCTTTTAATGTGTGATTGTTTTTGTATTATTTGACTTTAACTTTAACTATATATTTATTTGTTGTTCCTTTCTTCTCTTTTCTTTCTTTCTTCACTATTATCTGTAAAGCGTCTTTGAGCACCTGTAAAAGCGCTAATAAATTAAATCTATTATTATTATTATTATTATTGGTCATGTGCGCGTTCGTGTGTATTGGAGGAGGGGCTCTGTAAGGAAGTGGCAGATTTTTTCTGGCTTTGTATTTTCAAATTCTTGCGTACTCGAGCTGGTTTCTCCAAAATGACCTACCCGACCTTTAACTGTAACCAAATACAAATTTGTATCTGAATCATTCTAAGTTTTAACTAGAAGTAAACTTGGTAAAATCATCTCCCTTTGCAAAAAGTTAATTCCTAGACACATTTCAAATTCAAAAATATCATCAGTTAGACATTACTTCACTATTTTTCCATTAAAAATTGTTGTTTGCTGTTACCTAAACCTTAAATTGCCATTAAAGTCAACCTCTTCTCTTTTGGTTGTGGGCAAGTAAAAATAAGAATAATACATGATGGAGTTTCTGTACATGAGGAAGAAATTAATTATCTCAAATCCCTACTACCACCAAAGAATAAGAGCATACATTCAGTTATTATCAGGGGGCCTATTCCATTAACAAAATGGCCTGTTCCCTCAACAGCACACCAGCCTTCTCTCTTATTTTTCCTCTCTCGGGTCATTTTTCAGACCTACATGCTTGAGAGTTGACAACCAATTAAAAATGACAACCTTTGGTTGCACCATAACTGATTAAATGGGAATGAATGAGACTGTAAATCAATAGATACCTGTATGAATGCTTTCTGAGCCAAGCAGGGGTTTCGATATTTGTTTGACTGAACTTACATTATTTTCTCTGGAAAGATCCATTAAGATAGAGTTGTATAAACCCAGAAAGTTAACAGTGGGAGGCCCCATTTGGAGCTTGGGCAGTCAATAAGTGTTAATACAATATTTTCTGTGTGAGTGTTCCTGAGGGTTAGATTGACCTATCTGCCCACTCAGGGAAAAAGTAGCATCTCTGCACACCTACACACTGCAATGGAGACATCTTTATAACTCCTAATACACAAGCATGCACACATTCATACACAAACACGTAAACACAAACATATGACATATTCCTGATAACACAAAATAATCTTGTTGCTGATAAAGCAAAATATGAGATTAAGCCAGAGACTAGATGCCATTTTGTCTACCACCAAGTCTAGGTTTGCTTATATTGATGACAGGTAATGCCTTGGAAAGATAAAGGGAATTCATGGCACCATTTGAAGCCAGGTTTAAAACGGATGGTACCAGGTGTTAAATCTTTCTGTAACTTTATATACAATTAAGAGGTTTGTCACAAAAAGTAATCAACTTTTTTATTATAGATTTTTTCATACCCTCTTTTTTTTAATCACTATTACTAACTTGTTTTGGGATGTCGCCCACTTTGCAATGCTGTTCCTCATCATTCTTAATGCAATCCCTTCATTTCATTACTGTATTTTTCTTTATCTCTTCAATTTGGAAATTTCACTCAGGATATTTTGTGTGACTTTACATCAATGTAAATGAAAAATGTTAAACTATAATCTGTCTGTCTCTCTCCCCGTCTCCTCCACAGAGTTACATTCATGGCAGCAGTCAGGCTCAGTTTGTGGCTGAGTCCCACATCATCCTTCTTCTGAGTATCCTTTCACCAGCGCGTCTCTGTTTGTATATTTAATGTTTGGACATAAATTGAAACAAGGTGTTGCTAAAAGTCATCTACAATTTAACTTTATGAAATTTCTCACAGCATGTCTTGGCTAAACATTTATCTAATTCCCGATTTGTTTACACACAGCACATAGGAAACTTCCCTTATGTGTCTGAAACCATGTCCAATTTTTCCTGTCTGGTACATTTATTTTCCCAACACAAATGTTTTGTCGTTGGTGCTCATTCTCCATAGGGAGGCTGCCTGCTGGACTGAACAAACAGACAATACAAAGACCAGAGATTGTCCTCTTTTAACTTCACCTCCTAGCCTGATTTGTTCCCAATTCAACTGTTTGTGTGTGTGTGTATATATAGATGCTTCTGTTTGTCTTCTTTCCTGTCTGCTTGTATACCTGTGTGTACTTGCACTGGTGCTTTTGTGTGTGTGTGGGTAATCATACCGTTGGTTCCTAGCTGTTGTGTTTCTCCCCATGGGAAATAGCAGGTCCAAGGTTGCACCTGCTGCAGAGCAATATTTGTTTGTCCGTACCAACACAGTTTTTATTTTTTTATTTTTGAGCCCATCTGATTACATCTAAATGAAACACACACACACCTGCTGAAAGGCTTACACACCTATCCTTGTATTCTGATCTGCACAGGTGGTGTAAACACATTTTATGACTGTGATAGAGGCAGTTTCCCCATGGATGCAACCCTATTTAATTCCTGATACACAAGCACACACATCCAGGTAGCACACAGTCGCATAACTTTGCCATTTAAGGGAGAAATAGAGGCAAAGAAACTCATTCTTACACAGCGACATAAAAAAAATCTTATTTTTTACCAACATGAGGATGTTAGATAGCATCTGTATTGTGAATTCACATACCTCGTTACACCATCAAATTGAAAATGTCTTCAGGTATGCCGATTAAGTGTTTACTCAAACCCTAATACAGCTGATATAATATCAACATTTCAATATAAGAAAATGGATTTCAGCTTTAAAGCAGATGTTTCAATATGTAAAGATAACATGCCTGTGTGTTCTAAAGGCTACTTTAAAGCAATTGGAAATGAACTCATATGAACTAAACATAGTAGTCTTTTGGGAAAACGAATTCACTTAATAAAGCACTTCTATGTGCCCAATGGTATTTGATCTCTTCCCTAACCTTTGGCACTCAATGTAGTGGAATGGAAGTTAGAAATGCCTAGGAAAACTAGAGGTGTCCAACTCTAAATTATCCCATTCCTAATGTAATATCAATCAGAGAAGCTTATATAAATATGTTTATTCCAATTATATAAACAGTATGTGGATGTAGTGTAAATATTTTCTAGAACATTAGGGTGCACCATGCCAGGCACAATAAACACAGATGTCAGGACAATGTGGCAAAGCTTACAATTACCCAAATGGTTCAATCTTTGGGTTGTATGGGGATATTTCTTATGTGTGTGTCATGGCAGCATAACATGCCTGCTACTATATCATCAAGAGGACGCCTCAGTTTCCACTCTGTTTCTTCCCATGTGGCAGCCTTTGTTTGTGCACCCCGTCAGGTTTTCTTCTGTAATTTGGATTTGTATGCAGCCCACGCAGAGGAAAAGAAGCTGTAATTATATGCCACCTGAGGCTGTGCTTTGCAGTGATTTTAGAACAGCTCAAGTGTTGAGAACTGCTTGCTTCTGCAAAAAGAAATATTTTCTCAATGAACTTTTAATAATGAACTAAGTCAGCCTATTTTTTTTAATAACCAAATGATTGTTCAGTTAAGTCAATATGACAAAAAGTCTTAATGTGCTTTACACGCCCACAGCAGCAGTGGTTCCCAACCCAGAAACCCTTGCAAAGGGAATTCTAAACATGGTGTCCACCCCGTTATTACAAACATTTAAAAACTATTTGCATGTAATACATAAGTTAGGATTAGAAGTACAAAACATATCTAACCTTCACACATTAAAAGTGACTTTTTGTCACAAAATCTTGGCTGTTTTTTTATTTTTTATCTCTGCGGCAATTACATTATCATTCTCAAAGAGATTCAGATTTAAGATTCAGAATCCGCTCTGGCAAGAGTCATTTGTTTGACCTTGTTTACAACTGTGTGCTACTGTTATTATATCTGCAGAGTTGCTTTGATATCCCCACACTGTGAGGGCATTTAAAACTTACATTAAATTGGGAATCTATTATAATTTATTATATACCAAGGATGAGACCAAATCAGTGCAGATTACAATAAAAAAATAATGTGTTGGTTTGGTTTTCCTGAAATGTTTTCTATTGCAGCATAACCCTGTTTGATTCATTTATAAAGCACAGTTTCCCCTTTCTTTATAATTATATTAGAACACATAAAAGCAAATTGACATTTCAGGGAAGTGCTTCTTATTAACATTTAAGTTTAAGTGCAATACAGTCTCAACACAACTCGATTATTATTAATAGTTACTCGCTGAGCCCTTGTATTGTATTGCTTTATGTTTAATACATCTGCCACAGAGGTACGTTTTTGGCTCAGTTTTCTATGTTATACCTTTGTTAACATTGCAAGATAGAACGATTGTGCTGCATTCAGGTGATAGCGCAATCTGTTGGAAGAATTAGCTCCCAACTCAAACAATTGAAGTGAGTCCCCCCTAATTCCGAACATCATCTAGGAAAAAGAAATCGATGGGTTGTTTAAGTGCTTTAAGCGATATAATACAACATGTTGTCTTTGTAGTTTCCAAGTTTTTTCCACGTTAGGACTTTACGTCAGACTTCCAGACCATCTGTGGTGTCTCGTAGTAAACCACTAGCCTCAGCCATTTCAGTTTTTCATGTTATTTTGTCCACACCCTTTAAATATACTTAGTGCTGTCAGAGTACTAGTGACGGATGGTCTTGCTAATCTGATTGAGTGCTTCTATGTTCAAATGTGCGTATTTGTAAGTGCATGTGTGTGTCAAGCAGTTCTCCTCGGGGCAGTGTGTACTTCCAGTTTCTCTCTCGCCTGTATGCAAGGGTGTTTCCTTGACAACCTTGTCCCAGATGCTGCAATCACCATGGGGATGGTGCTGCTAAATGAGGCTGCCACCTCCAAGGGAGATGTTGGCAAGAGGAGAAGTAAGTATAGCAAAGTTTTAGTTTTTTACATAATTTTTGTGTGTGTGTGTGTGTGTGTGTGTGTGTGTGTGTGTGTGTGTGTGTGTGTGTGTGTGTGTGTGTGTGTGTGTGTGTGTGTGTGTGTGTGTGTGTGTGTGTGTGTGTGTGTGTGGGGGGCGTGGCGGGTGTTATAACTATTCAGGTATGTTATTTCTTCTTGCTGCACCCAATGTGTATGCATTGAAATATGTGTTTGAAGAGGTAGTTCTGGAGTTGGAGAGGTTAATGAGTTACACCTTCACCCACAGATATTATTCACAGATATGGGTTTAGTAATTAAAATGTCCTATAGTCACATTCAAGAGGTATTAACAAGAAAATTCATTCGGCTGCTGTTTGCAGTTTGGCCTTGATGATGTCTTGTGATCTAACTGCTACATTAAAAGAGGAAACGATTATCCGCTCTGGAACTTATCTGTCATACTTACTGCAAGTGCTGAGAGGATTTTCCTTCTTCAAGATTTGACTTGCACTCACCAACCTAATAAGCACTTATTTCTTTACAAGGCCCCTTGCTGCAACCCTTGATCGAAAGAAAATAAAATGTCATCACCTGTCTTCCCACCCGCTCCAGGCTATACTGAATAAGACGGATGTCTTTAGAGCTGCCTCTGATGCTTTGTGCTCACTATACTGTGCTTTTTCGGAAGACGTCCTAGTTTCTGAGCGTACTGTAATTCACGCCTTGACACTTGAACAGTAGGCACACGGAAATACTATTTAAGAACTTGTAATAAGAGGCACTTTCTATATGGGTTCAGAAATTGCACCGTAGTGTTCGAATTCTTTACATGCTACTTTGAGGTGATTTGATTTCTATTTATTAGATCTATCTTACTAATGAAAGAGCAAAGAAAACTCTGGAATGTGTGCCATTACAAATATCAAGGGTTCTTTTTAACAGGTTTGCTAATGTGGGTGCAGGCGTGCGTAAACAAGTACTCACGCACACAAACCATGTTTAACTGAACCATCATTGCAGTGCTTTCATTAGTGTGAGGTGTATTCATATGTTGTCAATGATATAACTGCCTCTGAAATCACAACTTCCTAAGTTAGATGTGCTTAGTGTATCTTGATGCTTAATAAACTTTAACTAGCAGATAGTTTTATGTAGGGTTGTCGGAATATTCTGGTTTCTAATTGACCTCTAAATTATTTAGTTTGTATGAAATTAGTCAAGTTACTATATCGACCATTCACAGTTGGTTATCTAATACGCTCAGATTGACTGCACAGCCTTTGAATTTATTCTGATGAACAGATCAAAGTTATTCTTAATATTCACAAATACCACCTGCACAGAGTGCTGGGAGAATCATAGAAATCAAACTAAATTATTATATAGCTAAAAAAACAACAGCTGATTTACTATAAATAGTGATGCAACTACTAACCAACCACATTTGGAGAGCTTTAAGGTTACATTCAGTGGATTCCAACAAGCTTATTTATTTATCAAGGCCTCAAAATTAAGCAATGACTCGCATCTAAATTAGCTCTAAGGGTGTTTCTCAATGTCGTGGACGCTTCCTTGGTAGGACAAGTCCCTTCGAGTCAGGTCCTTCAGAATCGATGCAAGAATCCTTCCTAGCCTCGGAAAATGAAGAATAGTGGAACAGGCTAACAGGTGCACAGGTGTGCGTCATATGCGAGGCCCCGCCTTAAATGGAGCGCGATTTCCGCCAAAGATTTGGAAATTGGTCCGTACGCAAAGCATCGTGGGGATTTTAAGACCGCGTAGTCTACCATGTGCAGCCTCGAAATTTCCCGCAACGAAGGACGCTGGCCTCGGTAGAATTCCAAGCATCCTGGACATTGGAACAGTCTTTCGGCGGGACTCGATGACGTAGCATCCTTGAAATAGTGGCTCTGGAGCAGCCTTCCTCGACATTGAGAAACACCCTAAGGCTCCCTTTCAGCTGAACCCTGAGGCCTTTGTGTGACTCTTACTCAGAAAGTAGTAAGAATACTTGTTCATTGTTCAATTGGGAGCAATGTATTTAAAACCATAGGTATATCATTTAATGTATGGTAAAAATAAATGTAATCAACATGATAATCACAAGGATTGACACATTGTCATGCACATAAAGTAATGAAAAATACTCACCAGCACTCAAGGCAGCAGATCAGCTCTTCAAATGAAAATGATTAAAATCCCACTTGTACAGTAGAAGCTCATAAACATATGCATATTATGTGTTGTTTGTCAAGAGATAATTATCTCTACTCTTTTCATTTTGTTTATGTTCTCCTTTTTCAAAACATCACTCATTTATAAAATGTTCCCTTAACTACCTATACTGTATAGTCGTTTTTATTCATTCAAAAATATGAATCATACATTTTATTTGTAGTGTGCTTTCTTCACCCAAAGCCCCATTATACAGGATACTAAATAAAAAAAGCAGAACGTAAGGCAGGCACTGGTAGCTAAAAAATATTTAACGGGTGTTATTCAGAGTATGTTTAAAAAATGTGTGTTTCCTAAAAACTAAGGATGCATTCCTAAACTGTTCAGGCAGAGCAATCCGAAGTCAGGGGCCACTGCAGCAGAAGGCTCTGTCCTTGTTCCTGTTGCTTGAGAGGAGAATGATTATATATGCAAACCTGACTGAGTCAGTCCAGCACAATGCCCAATCAGCCACAGAAACAGTGAGTGGTAGATTTGCACTTCACTGATTACACTGAAGGTGAGTCTCAGAAACAAATGTATTCTGTACCTGTTTTACACTGAAGCTGAATCCCTTTGATATCACAACATGATGAAAGAATCTTGTTTGATGCACCAATTGGCCTCCTAAGCTTCTGGAAGTTCGGGACGGGGTTTTGGAGGCAAAGTGTGGCAATGAAGCTGCAACCAATGTGGGCGTTAGCCATTGATAGACATTGACAGACAGATGGTTCAACTAAACAAATGCCAATGCAAAAACAATTACAACTTTTTTTTTTGTTACCCTTATGTTCAAGTTAAAATTATATAATTACTACCCTCTAGTTTTTTGTATTGGAACTAAAGTTAATAATATAAAGTTGTAAAAACTTTTTGGGGGGGTATTCTAATATTAGTCTATTACAGTCAGATAACATAATTATCCACTGTCTTCACTATAGGGAATATGAGTGAATTTAATCCTATTTTTTTATTTAGAAATATGTGTTTTGGGGCCATCAATGACAAAATGAGAACATGATTGTGAGGTTGTGAATGCATAATAAATTAGTGATGTAGTTAAAACAATATTGGATGATAGTCATTATTTTTGAATGTTGTGGACTGAGATAAATCATGAGAACACCATGAACGTAGACAGCTTTCGAACACAACACAAGGGTTAAGTGTGATCACTAGTAGCCAAAGATGTGAATTTGATTACATACATTTACAGACACAGAAGTAGACATTTCATATCATTTGAAAATGCTACATGTGCTGTCATTTCTTGTATACACCAATATAAATGTAGATATTTTGTGATTTAGATTGTTCCTGTCTGGTGTGGAAGTGATGAGCACAGTTAATCATTAGAAATATGGGAGGTGGTCCTTTAACCACACTAATGACAAATGATTGCTTTCAACCTTTTCCTTTGCTGCCCAAGCAGAGTTTCTGCATAATCTCTACAGTAGATTATGATAAGGGGATTTGGATATTAGATGGCCCATACTGATAATTACCTCAAACACGGAGATACAGTTACACACAAGTGGATTTTAATTAGAGAGGGTGTGATGAAAAAGCAACTCCAGAAGCCCTTCAATTGCCTCTAAGGGACCACAAAATCATGCACACACACATGAGTACACACACTTATAAAATCTAGAGGCAAGATTATCAAGTTTTTGTTCTACTTCCTCTTTGAGATGTCAAAGCTTGGCAATTAAAATGGTAATTACTTTATAACTACCTCAAGACTTGTTCCAGTCTGAAAGAAGAACACTCACACGTCATCGACATATATCTTAGACATGCAGGAAAACGTGCTCCCAGAATGTCACCTGTTTAAGGCTAACATATCACATGTTCACAGGACTCATCTATTATGCTCCTTTTATCCTCCACCTCACTCTAACTTGCCCTTTCCATTCCTTCTCTTCTTACATGAAGAAAAGTCTATTTCGAATATGTTAGCTATTTTAATTTAACCTCTTTCTATGTGTAAATTCCACCTGCTAATTCAAAAACATGGAAGAAAACACATCATGCATATTGAATTTCACCGCAGTGCAAGCATACTAATGCTTACACAAACCTGTTACGTAAAGCAAACACAGTATCCAGACAGAAGATTGAATGGAATAAACCGTGTTATATCCCACACACCACGGTCACTGCGCTAACAGTCACACAAACACATGGACACACAAATGAAATAAATGAATTATAAAGCAGCATAGCGAATAGTCGTCTGTCAGTAATATCGAAGGGGATTAGGTGTGAATGGTAGTATAATCACTGAATGTGGGCGTTAAATCCTTGGCATATAGCTTCCATACTGCCGAGTGCAGCCACAGGAAGTTATCTTCTGCTTCCATGGGCATATACAAATCACAGCGCACACACTCTTTCTCAGCAAGGGAGTTACTGAACTAGTAAATGAAGTTACAAAATGACTACATTTGCAATAATATTGGCTCTGGGGGGGAGTTAGTTAACCTTAACCCTTGACTTACACAAAAGCTACGTGAAAGTGAATACAAGTGAAACATGAAGCCGGGTTTTGGGGGTTAAAATAAAGTGTCAGGAAAAGTGAAAAGACAAATTACAGAGTAGATGGTTATAAAGCTTGTGACCGCAAAAATTACCATATCTCCTTTATGATATAACATAATGGAAATTTAGAGAAGTCTAAATTAAATCCAGGATGACCCCAAAATAACCTGAGGCTGAGACACTTAATGCGTCTTGAAACCGGTTAATAATCAAAAGAATAAACTGAAGAACCATTTAGCCTCCCAATATCTCTTCATATTTGTCCTCTTAATGAGGTAGGCTTAACCTAATATGTTTATTGGCTTCCCGGGAAATGTACATTTATTTCTTACCATTCTAATATATCAGGATTTGAATTGAGCCAAGTCATTCAGTCAAAAGAGGGATTACCACCTTTGTCACTGGGAAATCATTCAGGTTAAACAACTTGTCATTTCGCCAAGGTCATAAATCACGTTCATTAGCATGCTTAGCGCGTGTGTGTATCGGGAGTTTCATTATCCATGGAAGCATACTGAGATACCTCTCAGTCATAACTGATGAGCTGTGGGAAATACATCCCACTATACCTAATGAAGATACACAGACGTTCTGTCGCTCACGTAATCCCCGGCACATATGTAGATGTGGCAACTCAGGAAACACGGGGCCACAAGGGCTCTCCCTGGAGACACTCAAATATGCAGTGCTCTCAATCAAGACCCTAAGACAATGTCACACACACTCACACTAGTGATGTGTCGGTCGCGAACGAGCCGGCTCAAAGAGTGAGTGAGTAAGTGAACGACAGGAGCCGGTTCGCGCCCGCGAACGAGCCGGTTCTTCTTTTTTTTTTGTGGAGGGATCTAGATTATGGCGTTATATTTGTGCCTCTATCCTGAGCACGCAATAAAACATGTTGAGCATAGAAAATGCGATTGAGCGCGCACTTGAACATTTTTGAGCACAGAGAAATATATTTTCTCTCATAAAACTCCTGCTCCGTGCGCAAGCAGACCGCTGCACGCGCTCTCTCTCCCTCGCTCGACCTCTCCACCCTGTGCGCGCTCAGCTTTGCCTGCGCTCGCTCAAGTTGTCACAGCGTTACAAATGTGCCACAAAACCAACCAATCGGAGAACTCGAGAAGGTCAATTCTGATTGGCTGGTGCAGCACCATGTAGAGAGAAGAGTTGCGACAGCGGAAGTCCAAAATGCTTGATCGTCACGTGGTTCAGAGAGACTCAGAAAGTTCCCGGAAGTTTGTGGCGGGCCATTTGAATCACGATTTGAATGCATTGATAACAGGATAGAAATGCAATTTTTGGTAGTTATTGGTCAATAAAGGTTTTGATTTGCAATATGTAAACAACATGTCGATATGTGTATGTAGTTACATCAATGTGTTTTTAATTTTTAAAGTAAATGTGCTAATATTTGAGGATTAAGATCAATCGAAAATGTAAACATCTTAAATAGAAATAACATAGCATTACAAAAAGTAGAAAATATACATGGATAGACCAGCTATCTTACCTGTTAACATACATGTTAGGCTAAACGTTGCCTTGGTTACAGAGCCTGTTGCTGTTGTTTATTGCTATGAGATATATATTTATCGTACAAAAGTTGTAACACTAAGCGAGACGATACGATCTTGGACCTAACGAACTACCTAGATGTATGTCACTGAGTCAGAAGTCACGAACGAATATCTAGAGTCATACAGCCGACACTTACTGTAACTTTACCGTTCTTATCGCGATGGACAGTGGGAACTCAGCAATATAGGAGGACAGGAGATAGACGACATTTCTACTGGGACAAGTTTCTCACGACAAACACGATCGGTTTTAAGATTTAGATTGAACGTGTATCTGTAAAAGTTATATCTTTATCTTAACAACAACTAGATGTCTATATACCTTCTAGATTTCTCAAGTTCGTCTGTTATTTTTTGTGATAGTAGATTTTTTGTAGATGTTACCATTATCCTTTTTTTGGAATTCACTTGGTTTTTGTACAAAATAAGAAGACGTAGAAGTCTAGGGAGGTCAAAAAATCATCCATTTTGATGGTGCTGTAAAATGAAAGAGTTTCGTCACGTTACTCTCCGGATACAAGGATACGCCTGCTGATGACTTTATTTCGTTATTTTTCATGGAAAACTTGTAAGAGTCGTATCGCATCTATATCGAGAGATAGAGTACTGGTAATTGTAAAAGTGTTGATCATATTACTCGATAAATTAATTATGTTTTATTCATCATTTAACTATTTTTTGAACTAGTCTCATTTACTTGTAACTATAATATACAATTGAAATCATCGTGACTTTATTTTGTACCATCAGTCATTTTTACACTAGACTTACATCACCCTCTCTTCGGAGATGTAAGCAATTAAGTCCTGACTATATACATATACAGTAGAGACTTGTTTATATTCGTTTATATTATATATTTTTTTACATTGAGCCTATCCTATCTCCTTGTCTTCATACTACTCGCACTTCATTTTCGTCGTGTCTTGCAATTTGCGTTCATGCAGCTTTAACTTATTTTGTCACGACTTCAAGAATAGGTTGTTGATCGGGACTTTTGGACAGTCCTACTACTTTATACCAGCGACTTGTCTTTCTAGACCTTCGAACATCCTAATGACTCAGGGTCGCACAGGCCCACTTTTCGGTTTGTAGGACTCGCGTTGTTGGACGTCTCGTCTTGTGGGTCAGGCCAGAAGGCGTGCGCGGTCCACGGCGAGTGAGTTCTTGATGGCGTACGCCACTGCTCGACTCGTGGCCCATATTTAGTCCTCTCTTCCGCCGCGTCGACCAATGAACTGTTTTTTTTTTTTTTTTCTTAATTTTTTTTGTTTTTCATATATAGACTCTCACTTACAAAACTGATGTATGTTCTAGAAAATTCTTCTATATTTAAACAAATTT